ATTGCTGCCATATATGTATGTGAGACGTAAGCGAGTAGGTCACCAGTTGATCTCTGATGACGGAAGCCATATTGCCTATTGTTGATAATACCTGAATGTTCCAGGTATTTCATGAGCTCGATGTTGATAGCTTTCTCCATGATCTTTGAAATAATAGATAGCAGTGCGATCGGTCTCTAGTTGTTAGGTAGGGTCTTTTTGCCTTTTTTAGGAACTGGTTGTACTCTTGCAATTTTCCAGTTGGACGGGAATATCCCCAATATGTAAGACTAGTTGAACAACTTGCAGAGGACAGGTGTTAGTTCGGGAGTTTATTTCTTGAGGACAATGGCAAAGTTGCTCAATTTGATGCCTAGCAGTATGCCGTTCTGAAACTTGGAAAATTCCGATTACTTTCGGAGATATCCGAAGAAATCCAAATTTCATGACACGTTTTAATGTTTTACTGGCGTTATTTGAAGAGATCAATCGATATGTCTATCAAATTAACGTTGTATCCGTTGTTGACTGCAATATGTTTCATGATATTGAGTTCTTTATTGAAATTTACTTCTGAAAGAGGGACATTTACTAGCCTGTGTATCATACTATTCATTATATGCTGCAATTTTATGTTGATGGGGGTGTGTTGAATCATTATGAATAGTGATATCAGTGTGGGAGGGCTTATGCAAAATCGAAAAATCATGTTTATCATTAATTCAACTCATTGCCTAATTTAAAAAATTGATTGACCCTTCTGTTTCAATTTCCATTGTGAATTTTATGTTCTGGTTTCCACGAAAAGGAATATCTTGTAATGTTCAGAGAACATCGTGAGATCCAGGGGAATAGTATCAATATATTGGTGAAGAGTGTCAAATCGTCTATTGGTTCCTTTGAAGCATACTATAACGACATCTACGTATCTATACCAATACCCTTCCAATACAAAAATTGTTTTTTTCAATGGATGTCTATGTATTATTCGCTCCACGTTATCCATGAAAATTTCGGCGAGCAACGGGCTCAGTGGATTTCCCATAATCAACGCTTTCGACGCAGAATATATTTTGATGTCAAATTGAAAGTAATTTTGTTTGAGACATATCGACAGAAGGTCTAAAATCTCTTGTTTGGTGATGGGATCAACATGGTTTCTATCTAATAACTCCTCAACTAATATTATTAATAGTCTTCGGGTGGTATACTTGTGAATAGGTTTTGTACATCAACTGAAATGAATTTTGTGTTAGCAGGTAGAGTGGAATTTTGAATTTTAGTTATCAAATCATAGGAATTCCTCTAGCTGAATTTTGATTGAAAATTACAATGGTTCAAGGAGCTGTGACAAATAAAACTACCAGGCAAATGGGATAATTTTGTTTTTTGTGTAATTTGATGAGAGAATAAAGTCTTGGAGGTTTCCTCAAAAATCGATTTAGAATTTTTCAAGAAGTTTTTTACCTGTAATTGATGAGAGTTCCCCTGAATTAAAAGACTCAAGTTTTTTTTAACATAATCATTCCTGTCAATAGCAATAACTGTGTTCCCTTTATCTGCTCTAGTGAATATGGTATCGTTTTGGGTTGATTTAATTTTTATACACCCAGAAGCAGATTTGACAATGTTCATATCATTCGTAGAACAAATATCTTTCGAAAATTCAGATTCAATGATGTTAGAGGCTAGATATTTGTTATTGATATTGTTGACAGTACCTTGAGTTCGAAAGTATTTATATTGTTATCTTGTTCGATATTGTATTTAAAACTTTTACTTATCAATGACTTTTCCGTATCCGTGAAATCTGTATCTGATAAATTCACGAATCTATCAAGAAATTGATGATCAGTAAATTCATTTATCTTGTTACGTGGATTGTGTTTTTTCAGAATCAATGAATTTATTTCACTTTTTTGAATAAAATATTTTCCATGAATGATATGGTTAACATGATCCATACACCTTCCCATACTGATATCACTATTCATAATGATTCAACACACCCTCATCAACATAAAATAGCAGCATATAATAGTATGATACACAGGCTACTGAATGTCTCTCTTTCAAAAGTAAATTTGAATAAAGAACTCAATATCATGAAACAGATTGCAGTCAACAACGGACACAACGTTAATTTGATAGACAGTGTTCTTTCTAAACTACATAATAAAGCTATCCTACCAACAAGAAACAAGAATAATAATCAAAATTATAGAACTTCAACCTATTTCGGATCATCAACTGAAAAATTAGCTTCATTTCTACCTAAACAGAACTAAATAGTAGCACATAGAACAAATAACACGTTGGGAAAGTTCATCAAAAATAAAAAAGACACAACTTCTAAATTCGGATAACCAGGGGTATACAAACTCAACTGTGGAAATTGTTCTGAGGTATATATCGGTCAATCAATCAATCAGCGCATTCATGAACATGAGATGACTTTTTTGAGAAAGAAAACAAATTCAACATACGCCAACCATATACAGTGTGTCCCACTTACCATGCTCACCATGGGTATCTTTTTAACGGTGAGAGATACGAGGTCGGTTAAATGACACCAAATGTGGAGTTTGTCAAGGCCAACTATAATGTAAAAAAATATTTTGATAAAATCTATTCGTTTTTGTTTTATACGCAAAAAACAGATTTTGATCATTTTCATGTCTCCTCCGTAACTTCTTTATTTATGAAAATATTCAAATAGGAATTTAACATTCTCATGGCAGTTTTTCGAAGTGATTTCGAAAAAAATATGAAATTTATACCAACTCTTCTAGAATTTCAGATATCTGCACCAACTTTAGTTTTTCAAATGTAGGTCATAGCTCACTATGACTTAGTTACAAATAACTTTTTTTTCTTTCACAGATGATATGTCGCAGTAATAGTTTTGTGTTGATAACAACGGAGTTATCGTCATTTATACAAAAACAAAAAATTATTTGGAAGCCGTCATGGTATCAAATTGTAAATTCCATATTTCTTTGTTTTTTAGCACTAAATCTGTCAATGATATTATTTATATTAATTTTCATATCCCGATGTATATTCAGCAAGGCAAGTCCTGTTAAACGAGTGTCCGTCATCGTGGTCATGGGGGGGGGTAATTACCCCATTACCCCCCCCTCAGGCACGCGCCTGTCTCCTGTCCCTACTGACCAACGCGTCAGTAGCTTGGGGACATTGTGCTCAGTCAAACCTGATAAGAGTCCAAAAATTAGAGAACTCTACCCTGAGGATGATATTCAACGCCCCCTGGTTCGTCCGGAATGATGCTATCTTCAGAGATCTTAACCACACCAAGATACTGGACAAGATGAAAATCCATGCCGTGAAAACATTCGTAGGAATGGAAAGTCACGAAAATCCTCGCGTCAGGGAGGCCTCAAACCACGATCCTCGATTCCGGAAAGACATAAACGTCCAAGAACCCAACTCTTGGAGAGGTAAGCACATTACACAACACACATACACAACACAAAACCCCAAAAGAGAATAGCGGTTGATTCTGGCCCGAAACTATCCCGACTTCTTAACCCATTTAGATCAAACACAGGAATAGTAACTATTTCACGTAATGCAAAATCTTTATGATTCCTGTTTTCAAAAAACCAACAAGCCCAAAAGTCACGTAAACAACACTAGAAGTCAGATTCTAGACGTCAGTCCCTGCGGATTGTCTTGCATTTCAAACATTTTCACCCCCTAAACAACCGACTCTTAAAGTCACAAGCCCCATGTGGACTTTTTGAATATGAGGACCTTTGCGCTGCAACGGGGGAGGTGGAAGCGGTTGAGGCTGTTCCTAGTCACCCTCAGTGATTAGTAATAATAATAATAATAATAAAGGCTTTTATTGACAGGTACGAGTTTCTAACACTATGGAGCACAAACTAATCAGTGGAACAAAAAGAAAAAAAGAAAAAATTGTATTCATAGTTCAACAACCCTATGCTAGAATGAAAGCTACCTGTCAAATGGCAGGGTTCAAAAAGTGTCCTAAGACAAGTTTTGCTCTTCCACCCAACCAAGTATACATATTATAACATATACCTATTCACATATACACCTATATAATGAAGTATATCGTATACAATAACTATACGTGTACTTCTAATCGAATCAGTTCTCGAACTATGTAGCTATGAGTAATTCTAATCAACTATTATTAGATATCAATATCAAGAAGAAATCAATTTAACATGAATAATGAGAAAAAAAAAGAACTAACAATACTCATCACCTATCAACTTCCATACAAATTTACTTCGCGCATAAATCATCGAGTTTGCCATTAATAAGGTCTTGAATGAAGTTAGAGGTGAGTGTTTGTATTCTTCCGGAATCCTGTTGTATATCCAGGGTAAGTAAAATGAATAAGATCCACGAAATAGAGATGTTCGGTACTTTGGAGGGCTGAGTTTCGATTTGAATCTCAAATTCAAATTATGTACATCGGTTCTATAAGCAATTTTATTATATAAGTATGGTGGTTTTTTTGATAATAAAATTTTATGAAAGAGCACTGCTGCGTGTAGGACACGCCTAGCGGACATACTTAACCACCCAATACTTTTCAGATGATGCGACACATGATCTCTTTTTTTTGCTCCTGTGATGAAGCGAATACAAGAATTTCGAGAATAAAGTATCATAACGATTGGGCGGTTAGTTTATTTTATTGTACCAGTATTCCACCTGATGAAGCTATAGTGTTATCGAAACATGTCGTGTGATTAGGAAATCTCATCGTTTGTGGAGTTTTCACCGTGGATATATTTCATCTCTTCACGCCTGAAATTTCCCATTTCATTAATGTTTAAAAAACCTCGAAGAATTCCATTGACATTAATTCCAGAATTTGTTGTAATGTTATATGTCTCGACTAATGATTATTTTTTGCATGATGGAGTTTATCATAGTTGTTATATATGAATTATTATTATTCACAACGGAGAAATAATAGTGCTTTATACTATCGTATTGATCTTTATCCTTCAGTCACTGTTTGTATGTGAAACCGTGTATAATGCGGAATGGTGAGAAATTAAATTGATATTCCAACGAGTATTTTCACTAGGGCCCAAGGAACTAATACCTATATTCAGTATTAGTATCGAAATTATCATCTACTCATCCCGTAACTGCATAGTAGGAATCTCAGTCATATCAGTCATTCAGTGAGTGAAATCTACTGCGTAGTTTTTGTTAATAATGATGGAGAAAAAAAATAAAATAGATATTCCAAAAATTCACTTTTTTCGAAATAACTCAAAAACTAAAGATAATTTTTAAAATTTTTGAAGACTGTTGACATGAGCCTCCGAATGCGCAACTTTTTCCCCATTTAAACGACTTCGTATCTCCTACCGTTTCCGAGATCCCCATGCTGTTCAACCTTATCTTGGACAGACTGTATTCTTCATGTACCAATATTGATTATTTCACGCTTTCGGGATTGCGTTCATGTTGGATATTTCTCTGCACATTATCCGCATATGAGCTTCATGATTGTCATAATAGAGGAGGAGAAAATGCAATTTCCTGAGAGTAGGAGAAAACTGAAAGTTATAGTATAATTATAGGATAATTCACTAGTTCTTCACGATATTCCCGAGTTCATGTCAGTTGCAGATTTATAAGACAATTTCAATGCGTCCCATCGTTTCCTAATTTCCTTTCTCATCAAAATTGCCTAACTGAGACTATAATACAACAAATATTGTATAAAATATGGTTCGAAACGAACATCTCGGTCCTGGAGGGATAATCCATTGAAATAACTAAATTCATCCAGAGAATAATGTCTCGTTTCCCAAAAAATCACCTGGACTCAGCTCTGGTGATATAAGCGGTTAAATACAACACAACTCTCGGAAACACCATGTATATCGAACAGACTCCCACGGTACCATTTCTAATTAATATATTTACAGGTGAATTACAGTTATCCGCCTGTGTAGAAGTGGATACATAGATAACATCCGATATCTTTCAGTCTCAAGTGTAGAAGATCAATCAAATCGATATAAAAGATTCTTCTCCAAGGCAAGAATGTGCAGTCTTGAGTGTTTGTGACTGTTGACAACATAGGTAAGCTAATTGGCTTTGGCGTAACAGACAATAAAACGTGTGTTATTATTATTGTGGTCAATTCGAATTGTTAGTTGTAGCGGTCAATTTGAATTGCTGATAGGTGTAGGTGAATCCATTCGTCTCGGTTAAATTTAGGCAACTCGGTAGGTTGGCAAGTCTGGAAATTCAAACAAAAGCATATTTTTCTGTCTTTCACACAGTCATCTCCCATGGCACTGTCCTATGAGGGGGTCCACTGATTCCATAACAGTTTTTAGGCTCCAAAAAAAGGCTATATGAATTTTATCCAAAGTTTGTCGTCTCTTCACAAAATTGGGCATAATGCCACTCCCGGCAATCTACATATTCAACACACTGATTCAAATTCATATTCAAAAATATTCTCTCTGTCTGCAGTCAGATATCCACCGCTATAACACCCGCAATGCATCAATGGTCAGACCTCAAAGGTTTTTTAGACTTGATATCAGCAAGCAAAACTCTCTCAATTATAATCTATATAATGTCTATATACAGTGAGGTGCATGGCGATAGGTCCATTTAACACTTTCATCAAAGAGTTCCTAACAAAGAACTGTTTTTATAATATTCATGAATATATATCAGCCAGTGAAGTGCTAGGGTGACAACATTTTGTATTGTAGTATACTGTCTTTATAATAGTAGATTGTTTTATTAGGATCAAAAGTGACACTTTGTTTGACAAGCGAATTTTGCATTTGCGAGGCGCTAGCGTTTAGCGAAGCCGAGCTCGGGATGGATAACTTTTGAATAATCACGGCCAGCAATAGTGTTTCGTCTCAAACAACGATATTGTTTACCTCAATTTGATTATCAAGCCAAACACAGTGGACTTGTAGAGAAATAAATAATCGCTATTATCATTATTGATATGCTCACTAACCTAACATTTTTCACGTCTTGTTCCTATAACTGGCACTGGCGCGGTGTATTTGCCATTAGAACACCTGGTCCATACACAAATATGTCACTCTGTGGTTGTATTGATATTGAAACTACAATTCGAACATCCTTGAAAATTGAATAAACCTGCTGTTAATGCAGGTAGAATATTCTCACCACACGGATTATTTGTTGAATTGCATACATATGGCACGGCATTGGTGGTTACTTCACATATTTATTTGAGTTAATTGTTTCGGTTGCAGAAAAAATAGCATGTTTCATTCGCAAATGCAAAATTCGCTTGTCAAACAAAGTGTCATTTCTTATCATAATGAAACAATCCACTAGTCTTTGTGTGTTGATGTTTGTGATGTTTTAAAAATTTGGTTTTCAAACTGTAACGAATCTGTGTCCTTGAAATTTTCAATCTTTGAAACATTGTATTACTGCTCATTCTACATATCATTATTCTAAAGTTCTACCTACATCATGACTTGTCCCAAACATCTTAAAATTTAGAACGTGATCAAATAAATCTATTCTATTCCGTTCTGGAATACAATCGACGCTTTCTGAAATACAACTGGAAAAGGTGTATAGTTGAACTTCGTTTCTGGCGATGGTTTTCCAACAAACTTCTTTGCCTGTCTCATTTCTGGCGAATTGTTCCACCATTCTTGAGATGCTAATTGCATCCATGATTTGATGCTTGTCTTCTATATAGCTTCACCAATCGCAACATCACAAAAGGGTTCTACACCTTTTCCAATTGTAATTTAGAAAGCATCAAGTGTAATTCGGACAATACCATCTGTAGTTTAGATTAGTTAATTGAAATTCAGAAAATATCAAATGTTATTCTGATAAGTCAATTGAAATTCAGAAAGAGTCAATTGTAATTCAGATTATAATCAACTGAAATTCAGAAAGTGTCAATTGAAAATCAGAAAGCGGCAATTGGGATTTAGAAAGTGTCTTTCGTGATTCAGAATGTATCATTTGTAATTCAGAACGGGTCAATTGTAATTCAGACTACGTCATTTGTAATTCAGATTAGTTCATTGAAAGCGTCAGTTGAAATTCAGATTAGACAATCGAAATTCAGAAAATATCAATTTCAATTCAGATTGGCCAATTAATATCCAGAAAGAGTCCATTGAAATTCAAAAAGCTTCATTTGGTATTCAGAAATATGGAACAGTGTTACCTTTGCTTGCTGAGCCAAGCGTAATGAATGTTGTTAATGGAATACAAAGCAATATTTTTTCCAGAAATCACTTTTCTATTGTAACTTATCCATTTTACCTTAAAATTGATTTCAATTGACCATCAATAAGAATAATTCCATAACTCTGACGAAGTCACTGGTTCTACACGAATACCTTTATAAAACCATCAGTCTGAATTACAATCGACACATTCTCAATTACAATTGAGGATATATCTGAATTTCAACTGATGCTTGCTGATTTCCATTTGTCTAATCTGCAATAAAATAGAAGTTTTTTGAATTTCACTTGTCTAATCCGAATAACAATTGATATTTTCTGAATTTCATGTTACTTATCTCAATTACAAATAACGTAGTCTGAATAACAATTATTGCATTCAGAATTACAAATGACGATATCCGAATTTCAATTGACGCTTTCTAAATGATTTACAACTGAAGTTTTCTGAATTTCAATTGACTAATCTGAATTGCCATTGATATTTTCTGAATTTCAATTGGCTGATCTGAATTACAATTCACACTTTCTGAATTCCATTCGAGAAATCTGAATTACAATTTACGCTTTCTGAATTACAATTGAAACAGGTGTAGACCATTCAGAACTCCACTAACTCCTGCTCGGGCTAGTGACTTATTCCCTTCGTTTCCCTCATACCCTGTATGTGTTGGTACCCATGCTGAAGTCAGTCTCTTCCTATTATATTAGATTAGATTTGGATGGGGCCTTCGGGCTATCTGCCTCCACACTGCGACCTTCTCAGATCTATTATGTCTGCCCTCAAAATCGATTAGAGTTCTTCGGCTAGCCCCGCCTTCTCTATGAGACTCCATAGGCTAGCTTTCAGATCTCCTGTGTATCTCTGGGCTCCTGGTTTTTCCTCACCCAGCGTAAGGAACCTTAGTCTTGACAAGCCCTCACAGCAGTGGCAAAGTATGTGTACTGCTGTTTCTTCCTCTTCTTGACAGAACCTGAGAAGTCCCACTAGTATTCTAGTTGAACTTCGTTTCTGGCTTAGTAGATATTCTGTGAATGTTGGCGATGGTTTTTCAATAAACTCTTTTGCCTGTCTCATTCCTGGCGAGTTGTTCCACCATTCTTGAGATTTAGTTTGCATCCATGATTTGATACTAGTCTTTTGTATAGCTTTCGCAATACCACAGAAGGGTTCTGGGCCATTAAGAGCTTTATTTGCTCCTGCTCGGGCAAGTGAGTCTGCCTCTTCATTGCCCTCGTACCCTGTATGTGCTGGTACCCATGCTAGAGTCAATCTGTTCTGACTGCCCAGTGCATTTAGGGTTTCTAAGCAGTCCCATACTAGTTTTGAGTTAACTTGCATAGAGTTGACTGCTTTGATTGCCGCCTGGCTATCTAAATAGATTGCAATGGTTTTGCCTTTAAACTCTTGCCTTATCAATTCTTTCACGAAATGATGTATTGCAATAATTTCTGCCTGAAACACCGTCGCGTATTTGCCTAAGCTCAGTGAGATTCTTGTCTTTGGCTTGGCCCCATAAATACCAGCTCCTGATCCTTCCTCAGTTTTGGAGCCGTCCGTATAGACAGCAATGTCTGCATTGATAGGAGGTCCTTCCTTCCATGTCTCTCTGTCCGTTATACTTATTTTAAAAGTTTTTTCAAAGCTATATTTTGGAATTATGCCATCCGTTGGCACAGTCTCTTCCTATACTGTCCAGTTCATTCAGGATCGAAAAGTTATGATCAGGGACTATTTCAATTCCACAATTATGCATGTCTGGACTTGATGGTTTCATTCCTTAGTACTTTTTGCAGCGATCATAAATAAACAGTAGTTAAAATTGAGGTTGAACGATCAGTTCGTTGTTCTTTCTTTATGGTTTTTTATTTTCATCCGAAACTGCTTTCACGAAAATCGTTAGGGATTTTATTACTATAGGCACCTACATCAGAAATTATTCATATTTCATTGAAGTCAGTGACCGACTCCTTTAAAACGAGTACAATCGAGACTTACAACTCCAGGACCGGATTAGGGGAACAAAATTGTTTTAACCACGTTTACAATGACACGACATCATGTGTCTCATTATTTCTACACATTTTCTGTGATTTTTCAATGAGAATTCAATTCTGTGCAGACTGCTGAATATTTAGTGTACCCTGATGATAATTCACCACCACTAGCTCGGTTATTATCACTATGTATTTAATGAGCATCACGTGATGCTGAACTATTTTTGGTCTTTGACTCTGGGATATTCTGCTAAGAATACAGATGCTCTCTTCTTATTGAGATCACAACCCAAAATATCGTGTTCGTGATCGATATTTATGTTAGGAGCATGTGTTTCCTAACAACACAAGTAAATCCTAGGGACTTCCCAGGGACGTTCCTAATTTTATACTAGGACATCCCAGGGATATCCTTTGCGGGACAAAGTACATACTAGGGACGTCCCAGAGACATCCACTTTCAGACAAAAAAGACATTCAAGGGACGTCCCTGGGATGTACCAAGTACGAAGGAAGGCTATCCCTAGGACGTCCCAAGGATATTCCAGGGACATCCCTTCGACAAAAGAAAAAAAAGTAGGTCGAGTAGGGATTGAACTCTGGACCTTCAGCTCATCAGGTACGCACCTTACTCCATAGGCTAATATGCAGATTCATGGACTGAACAGATTTATAATCAGTACAAAACTGAAACCTGGATAAATACAACTTTGTTAGGATTTTATGCATAATTATTATCATTCTTGGGTGTTCAGGGTGTTTGATTATGAGGGGCATTTTGCATTTACGATTTCTGTCTGCGAAAAATGGTCATTTCTCAAGAAGTTCTGGGACTATATTCTTTATTTTCAAAAAAATGCAACTCAATATTTTGATGAAATTCAATAACTCTGATGTGAATGGATATCAGATATTCCAGGGACACGAATAGGATAACCTAGGGATGTACCGGGCAGGATGTCCACTGGACAACCACTGCGGGACATTCCCTGGATACCCCATCATGTCCTTGTACCGCGGTACAAAAAAGGGACGTACCTAGGACATTCCTGTGTTGTTAGGGTTTCAATAACAATATGTTGGTATGTTTTAGCTACCAATGCCAAATACGAATATGGTTGAATTACTAAAACTGAATTTGCTATTCGGACAAAGCCTATTTTTCCGTCTATATTTTCATCAGTAGTTCTATATCATTTAATCTGTTGTGATCATCACTCATTTACTCACCATATCATAAATAATTTGTTTTCACCACTAGCTATAGAACCTATTATTTTTTACCACTAGCAATATAACGTACCATTATTTACTCTTTTTCAAGGTTACTAGAATCTGGGGTTTAAATATTTTTATGTGATTTCGTAACACCCTATTTAGATTAGTGGTCTCTATATCCTTCATCAAATTAGATCTCTTGCAGTAAGGAAGCCCTATAATACCCCCAACAAAGCCCATATTCCCGCTGAAAATGAGGCTAGTTTTGGTGGCCATCCTGTGGATAGGCTGCTCGTCAGCCACCAGAGTGAGGTTCGACAACCACACCCTGTATAGATTCACCCCCAAAGACGACCAAGCGATCGACACCTTGAGGCAACTGGAGCAGTCGGTAGGATACGACTTTTGGACCTCTGTCAATGGAGTGGGGATGCCTGTGGACATTTTGGTGCCTCCGCAGAAGAAGAGGGAGATCATGGAGGTGGTTGAGGCTCTTGCTGTCGATCAAGAGATACTGATGAGCAATATTCAGGAGGAAATTGATAGGGAGGCTGGTAGTCTCAGAGCTGGGGATACTTTCGGGTGGAACAGCTATCACACTATCGAGGAGGTAGGGTACAATTATTAACTTTTTTTTTTCAATGCTCAATGCACTACTAAATGCAGGAAATTGCGAAATTGCCCTGATTGGAAAATCATTCTTGAACCTTGAACGAAATATTAATTTGAGAAACGCACTACATATTTTTACGAAGATCTTGATATAATAATGATAATAATTATAATAATAATTGATTTTATTGATAGTAAAATATAGATATGGTGAATATAATTATATGGATTATACATTCATACTATCAAAAGGCAGGATTCAATCTCTTACCAAGTTGTAGACAAGGTACGAGCTTGCTCTTCCATCCAACCAGAAGAAAAAAAAATAAAAAATTTTCAAGTGAAGTTGAGATTACAAAAATTGTAGGAGAAAATCTAGTAAATTAATAATGATGATAAATAAGGAGAATGAGCTCTAAAAAAGATTAGGCAGTTTGTTTTCAAGCAGAATATGTTTCAATTTAAATTTGAATCCAATAACAGAGAGTGATTTTAGGGAGGTCGGTAACCTATTGTACAGCCAGGCAATATAGAATGTGAAGGATCCGCGAAAGAGAGACGTTTTGTGATAGGAGGTGTAAGATGGTGTTTAAAACGCAAGTTCAAGTTGTGGACATCAGTTCTGAAATTGATTTTCTCAAGAATATAACTTGGTTTCATGGTTGTAATCATTTTATGGAAAAGCGTACATGCATGAAATATGCGACGTGTTTCCATATTCATCCAAACTAGTGTTTTCATGAATGGTGGGAAATATGATCTCGTCTTCTTGCACCAGTAAGGAGTCTGATACATGAATTTTGTAGAACCTGTAATCTGTGTTTATCTGATTGCAATAAATTTGGGCCATAAACATCTGCAAAATTAGCATGCGACAATACGAGACCATAGCATAAAATTTTCTTAGATTCAACATTCAGCACATCTCTATTAGAGTAAATTAATTTCAGGTTACAATAACCGCGTCTGAGAATATGCGACGTGTGGAATGAAAATCTGAGAGAGTGATCGAGGAGCAGACCAAGATTCTTTGTTTTTTCTTTGAGAGGAAGTTGCGAATTTTCGAGAGAAATTTTAATGTTATCGAACTGCCGTTTCCTAATGGCAGTTTCTGCCAAAAAGCATAACAAAAGACTTCAGAGGATTAACTGTTAGACAATATTTATTGGAGGTCTTCATCAAAGCTTCCAGGTCTTCGTTGATTTGTTGACATGCAGAGGCGATAGAGTCTTCGTCAAAGTGTTTATAAATTTGGGTGTCATCCGCGTAGCTATGAATATTCGTGTATCTCAAACATTCCGGGAACTGGGAAGTAAATAGTACAAACAGAAGGGGACCAAGAATTGAGCCCTGAGGCACACCGTTGCGTGTGGTGAGATAGTTCGATTTCCTGTTATTTAGAATTACACATTGGGATCGACCAGAAAGATAGTTATTCAGCATCATCACTAGTATCACTACGCCATCTGAGAAGCCGAGATACGATAAATATGAAAACTAGCAACAATGTTAACTTATCTGGCAGGAACCGAAATATTCACTTTTCTCATTTCAATTTCCTCAAAATTAGTGAATTACAGAATTTTCGTGTTCTTCAGAGCATTTTGAAAATACTTCTGTGATTTTTTGTGAAATCATTATACTTGATCAAGAGATGGTTCCATATAAAATATGATCGGAAATAAAGAATGTGGTGTTTTCGTTTCACGTTCATTATTGCCAGTTCTCATTTGCCCGATATCTGCAAAAACGACCAATTGCTGATCCTCGAGATCATCAAGTCCAAATTGTTCTCATCATAAGAGCACAGGACTCTTGAAATCATTGTGAATTCTTATAGACATCGAATTAAAAATTACACTTTTCTCGAAAACGGTTCATTTTACAGCATTCTAACAAGAATACCTTTTTCATGTAAAACCGTTTGGAAAATTATATCATGATAGTAGACATGAGATTGATTTTGAAACAAAAAAACTTCGAGTATTTTTATAGCATCGGTTACAAGTTTCGCACCTCCCTGTATGTTAAATCATGTTTTTTGTATCACGAAACGATTCGTGAGATTGAATCACCCTTAGGTACCAAATTTCGTGATTTTGGGATCAATAATAACAAAGATACAAGGCAAAACCTTGACTCATCCGTAAACAAGACATTCGACCATTCAGGAATATTCCACTGTCCATAATTTTCAACAAGATTTCTTCTAGCAGCACGATGTTCAGGCAATAATTTGGGACCTTTCGCAGGTCTCCTAGCTTTTAAATTGACTTCTTTTAGACGTCTACATACCGTCTGCTTACTTACTGCAACATCACGAATTTGGCGGAGATCTAGCTGAACATTCACCGCAGTATTTGATCGATTCCGTAGAATCTGCCATCTCAAGAAGCGATCATCTCTTGGAGAAGTTTTTCGGGGGCGACCAGAACCGACCTCCGAGCGGTGCTTCCTGTTTGTTCGTTCTTGCGGATTGCTCTACGAGCAGTTGCTTCATTAACTCCCACTGCACGAGCGGCGTAACGTTTACTACGCCCATCGTTTACTAACGCAACTAATCTTGCTACTTGTTCAGGATTTATTCGAGGCATTTCATGTAATTTTAGTCAATAAAACAAGACTCTTAATTAATGACACAATGACAAATGGTCAAATATGGAGGCATACAACAAATTAGTTGCTATGGCAACGGCATTTGTTTTTTCATAGACAATGTAAGCCTACCACAGTACAACCAAATCTATTTTGAGTACTCTGAAATTTTATATGTGGAATAAGCGTAAGGTATCAGCAAAAAACCTGTAATTCGGAAAATTCTAGAGATAAATCAATGAACAAAAAAACAAAATGCTCGCAAAAGAAGCCTATTTCGTATAGGGTGTAAACACTTTGTATACCATTACTGAACTAACACACAGGGTGAGTCAAAATTTAAGAATAAATCATGGTTCGAGTTATTCCACCACCATCAAGGAGGCTTTGAAAAAATGTTCACCTCTTTATTTTTTTTTATAGACAAATGCATAACCTACCATAACTGATAAAAAAAAATCGACCTACTATTTTTTTTTTTTTTTCAAAAGATAGGTCAAATATCGAGTGCGTCACTTTTTTTGGAACTGAGTGTATTAATAACAAAGATAATAATTGGAGAAAACGGCATTTAGGAATCATTTTCGGACACATATGTTGATAGGAACATTTTTTCTTATCCTCATGTGCAAAATTACCTCCCGGAGTATACGAACCTTATTCTGAAACACCCTGTATAGGTATGATAGGATTATTTGCTGCTCGTGATTAAACACCCGAACAATCATGAACTGAAAACGGAAGGAAGCTCAGATAACCTTCTGGGCGAGAAATATAAACATTCAAATAATTACCCATATCAATAACAATGAACAAATGACTTGAGGAACACACCCACAGAACTCAAAGGAAAACAGCGCATACTTGGCATACTAGATGAATGAACAAATGAACAGATAACAATGAGAACATAAGGTTTGGTGTAAACTGTTTCTTTCAGAAAATCGAGATTACAAAATATCTCATTCTACCTAGCTAATATTTCAATGGATTCGCATTACAGTCAATCCAAAACTGATTCGTTGAATCATTTTCCTGAATTGAAATCAGTTCATAGAGGAAATGAAAAATGTGTATAAAATAGGTTCAATGAACATCACGGAGAAATGAAAATCTGAATAGAGGAAACTTCCCCCGTAATTTCTGCAATTTCATCAAATAATATGTTCTGTTGAATAGGCAAGTACACAAATGTGTGGATTCAATTTGAATGTGCATATAACTTAAATATAGTAGTGAATATTCCTTTTCAATGAATGCATCAATTTGAATTTGAATACCCTACAATTTCAAGGAACGTTCAAACATATCGTTCGGTGGCAAACCGTTACAACTCGTCTATCCTTTTCCTGTGTTGCCAGCTTTCTTATTTTGAGGAAATATAAAGTGAATGAATATTTCTCAATTTTCGGATCGATCCCACTGTGGAGGTGACTCAATATCAATTGAGGTAGTGAATGTAACCAATATAGGTTTCACCCCCATTGCCTATTCCAGTTTGTAGCTGACACGATTACAAATAAAGTGAGTTGTAGCTGTAGCACGTTGAAGATATATTGAGAGCGATGATTCTATAAATATCCAAACAAGCTAAGCGGTTTATCTCACTGAGTACTGGTGACATATCAGTACCGCTGACTATTTTCTGTCTTGTTCTAATTGGAGTATTTTATCTAGAATTTCTAGAAATCAGTGGTCTTGCCTAATTTACAAGGTGTCCGCTAATGGTACACAAAAAAACTGCAGATTCCTTGAATAAAAATATTGAGATTCAGCCAAACTTGCCTCACTTTAAGAGTTGATAATAACAAAGATAGAGGATGTCACAGTTTCGATTAGCATTTCTTTTATTTTCTTCAATAATTCATCAACAATCCGTTTTTATTTTGGAGGTCACCTGTAGAAGGCGCCACCTACGGTACATTAAATCTTGCTTCAAGATGATTAAACTCTTTTGTATCTCGGTGAATTAGTCCGAATGTTGGAGGTTATGTAATCAACAGATTTTTTTCGTAAAAAAGGCATACCTACTTTGCAAATGTCTCTCCGAGTGGTCGTTTTCGACTTCGAGATTTCTGCTTATCAATTATTCAATACAACTTCACAAATTCCCAGTTGCATTTTTTAAGTAGGCTGTGATCAAAACAGATGCAATAACAAACTTTAAGTAAAAAAGGTTATACATAAACTTCAATATTTAGGCTTATACACGGTGACACAAAAATGTTAAATCATTTCAAAGATTCGATGTAACGTAGGACGTGCCCTTCACAAGTGGCATCCAAACTAAGAACAGATTCGAATTTCTCGCTTCAGAAGAATTTATATTGCCAAATTTTGGGCTATTTTGGCACCCTGTTGATGAATTATTGATAAAAAACGAAATGCAAACTTATTCGACACCCTGTATCTTTGTAATCATCAACCTTTGGACAGGTGACTTTGGCTAAATATTAATATTTTCATTCAACGAATCTGCAGTTTTGCTGTGTAACAATAATTAGTGGACACACCCTGTATATTCACGTATTCCAGATATACAATTGGCTGAGATCTCTGTCGACGAAGTACCCAAAAATCGTCACGTTGGTTGAGGCTGGTAGGTCTCACGAGAATCGCCCAGTTTTGGGAGTGAAAGTTTCTTTCGGAAAAGCCACTGGCCAGAGACAAGCTGTCTGGATTGACTCTAACATTCATGCGAGAGAATGGTGAGTATAACATGTCGACTATTTTTCATACGCCCGTCATATGCCCGAGATCACCTTTCGCCAACGTACTATAGGGAAGATTTTATTGGGTTTCAACACCAACAAAGCTTGTGGTTCCAACGGAATCCCACCGATTGTTCTCAAGAAATGTCCTCCCGAACTAACTCCTGTTCCCTGTAAGAAAATTGCAGGAGTACAACCAGTTCCAAAAAAAAAAGGCAAAAAGACCCTACCTAGCAACTACAGACCGATCGCACTGCTATTTATGATTTCAAAGATTATGGGGAAAGCTATCAACATCGAGTTTATGAAATACCTGGAACACTCTGGTATGCTTTCTGCTAGCTAGTTTTCTCTCAAACAGGTCTCTGTATGTACTGGTCGACGGAGTTTCATCTGACTCTCTAATCATAAATGCTGGTGTTCCGCAAGGATCAATTCTAGCACCAACACTATTTCTACTCCATATCAACGATTTGTTGATGGAAGCAACATCATGTCCAGAACAGAGCTTCGCGGAAGATAGTACCCTCCATACCGCCTTCTCTTCCAGGACTACAATACCAGATTTCAATGCAAACAAAACACAAGCATGCCTTTTCTCTAGAAAAGCCGATCTCACTGTGCCCAACATAAGCTTGTCAGGAGTTACCATACCTTTGAAGACATCTATTTCGATGCTTGGTATTACTATCAGCAATAACCTTCCGTGGGAAAATCAGTTCAATTGCTGAAAGTGCATCCCAAAAACTTGGTTTTCTGTTTCGGGCCAGGAGCTATTTCACTTCCAGTCAGCTGCTTATGATCTATAAGGTACAGATCCGACCTGTTCTGGAATACTGTTTCTATATTTGGAGTGCAGCACCCTAACATACCCTGAAACTGTTGGATTCTGTCCAAAGAAGGGCAATTCGTCTCGTGGGTGATGCCTCGCTCACAAACTCACTCACTCCTCTGGAACACCGTAGAAAAGCTAGCGATCTGGCTTAATTTTATAGATATTTTCATGGACGAGGCTCTCCTCCCAAAATATCAACAATTGTTCCTCCCTTGGCAGTCTCCGCGAGATTAACCCGTCGAGTTGAGCTTCGCACCCCTTCGTGGTCACTTTGGAGACCTCCAGAACATCTCTTTCCAAAGACTCGTTCATCCAACGAACAGCGAGGCTCTGGAACACATTGCCAAGGGAGGTGTTCCTCGAGGCATGTAACCTCCAGAAATTTTAGAACACCAATTCCTACCTTATTTCCCTTGGTTCTCAAGCTGTTCTCTGAACATTACAGGATATCCCTTTTCGTGGGAACCAGAACATAAAAAAAATTAAATTCAAACAGTATAACTCAGAATTGGAAGTCATAAAATTATGAAAAAGATTGATGTTTCCTGAGGAGATATAATAAGAGAAACCTCTTACTTGGAAATGAACTGCCTACTTTATTCATTAAATTAGGAAATATTGTTTGCCATAACTCCCAAATGATTCGAAATCAGAAAATATCACAAGGTTTTTTGCGGTGAAAAATTATCTTATCAATGATTGAAACATTTTCCAGGATATCTGGTGCAGTGAACACGTACATTTTGAACGCCCTGTTGACAAGCACCGATCGTAGCATCAGGAACTTGGCAGAACGTCATGATTGGTACATTTTCCCTGTTCTCAACCCCGATGGCTTCCATTACACATATACAACTGTAAGTGAATTCACTATGATTCATTGATTAGTTGATTGTTCGAATGATTATGATTGATAACTCGTTCGACAGTAATTTTTGATGTTGAAATTTTGCATTTGCGAGGCGGAGCGTTTAGCGAAGCCGAGCGAAAGCAAGTGTCACTTTTGATCCTAATAAAACAATCTACTATTTATAAGACTGCAACATGTTCCTCATGATTATGTAACAATATCATTGAAATTTGAGGAGATGACTTCGAGCATTCCTTCCTTCCTGTGGGATTCTTGAACAGTTCTGAAATCGCAACCCGAATGAACCTGTAAATTCCCCAAATTCCAGAACCGAATGTGGCGCAAAACCAGAACCCCGTACGGCCTCTGCGTCGGCGCAGACCCGAACCGCAACTGGGACTACAAGTGGAACCAGGGGGGCAGCAGCAGCATACCGTGCACCGAAACCTACGCCGGTCCGAGGGCCTTCTCCGAGGCTTGCACCGCCAGCACCTCTAGATACCTGGGAGGCATTGCGAAAGAGCTGCTAGTGTACGTCAGCTTCCATTCTTATTCGCAGATGCTGCTGCTGCCCTACGGCCACACGGCGCAGCATTTGGACAACTACAATGTCACCGTGAGTATATAGTTTTCCTTTAGGTATGTTCCTTTAATCAGCCGAGTTTACAGGTCGACAGTTTTTTTCTACTGCCCAATGAGCACAGTGACGTTGAAAAAACGTTGCTAAATGGTTTGATACCCAACGTTTATAAGGGGTATTTCTCAAACGTTGATTCAACAAAAAAATGTAGCACGATAAAACGTGTTTTTCAACCCAAAAACCTACTAGAAATAAACGTACTTTGAGAACGTTTTTTCAACTTGAGTATCAAAGTGACATAAACGTAATGTTTCGACGTTCCATAATTATCGACAATAAAGGTTTATTCAACGTTGAATTGACGTTTGAAAATGCCGATTTGAATAAGTCGATAAAATAAGATTTTTCAACGTTTACTTCAGATCAATTTTCAATTGTCAAATTTTCAGTTTTTCGAACTTCACTCTAACGTTTTTGCTAGATTACTTTTTAATAGCCTGTTTCGCTAAGTATGTTAGCTTCTTCAGGAGAGGATTGACTAAACTAAACTGAATATCCTATTCTAGAATGCTGCTTACATACAGGGTGTTTCATTGGGAAAGGTAAATAATTCAACTGTGGATAGGGGTCACTGAGGCGATTTCAAAAAATCCATGGTTGATGGGTCTTCGACTTCTTATAACCGAGATACAGGATGTTTCATCAATGTTGTCCATATCTTCATTGTCTCATAACTTTCCAACCAACCTGTATATATATTTAAAAATTGGTACACTTGCTCAATCTACCATGTGGAATTGATTGAGCAACAATAAGAGATAAAATCCAGGTCCGGCTCCACTTAAAATTCACAAATTCTTTCTGCCAGAAAACAACACCCTATACATTCGAATTTCTCATTTTTTTTTGCCTTATATGAAAAAAACATCAACATTTCTATTCAACGACGTGCTTTTTATTCGTGCACATACGATTTTAACTATGCATATTATGTGCTCAAAATATTATTTTTGCTCATTTTGGGGTACAAAATTGGAATCAGACGAGATTTATCAATTTTATTACTTCCTATTCAGTATACGTGAGTATTACATTTAGAATTTCATATCGATCTTTGTTCCAGACTTAGTTGCAGGTCCGTCATCAAAATTATACAGGGCTTTTCACGATAAGCGTTAATTTGTCGTTTTCGGCAAACCAGGCAACGGATAAATCTGAAATTCCGATGGTATGTATAAATTAACATAATCTACACTACTGAAATATTTGAAACGATCCGGCCTTGCCGCTTCTACTAGAAAGTAGCAGCAACTTCGATTTTTGAAATGGGACGTATTTCATTACATTCTTGGATTCTTGCTGAACAGCAGAATTCATCGATTCAAAACATTCGAGGCCTAGCGGGACTGATAACTGAGATATAGGATGTGGAAAATCGAGATGTTTCAACTTTAGAAATGTTTTGTGTTGAAACTATTTATTATTGCATGGTCAAAACGACTTCAGTGTCCCTATCTCAACTTTCCATTCGATATTCAATTGAAACAGATACAGGTTGGTGCAGAAATCTGAATTATGAACCATCCTGTATTTGTTTCGATTAAATTTCAATAGATACAAAGTTGAGATAGGGACATAAAAGCCGTTTTGATCAATAATAAATATTTTCGCAAAATGATTCTGAAGTTGAAACATCTCGATTTTCCTCACTCTAAATATCTCAGTTATAAGTACCACTAGACCCCGAACTTTGTGAATCGATTAAATCAGCTCTTCAGGAAGCATCCAGGGTGTCCCATTTGAAAAATCAAAGTTACGGCTACTTTCGAGTAGGAGCGGCAACGCCGGATTGCTTCAAATATTTCAGACGTGTAGATCATGTTAATTTATACTTACCTTCGAATTTTTAGATTTATCCGTTGCCTGGTTTGCCAGAAACATCTAATTAACGCTTATCGTGAAAAGCCCTGTATAGTTTTGATAACGGACCTGCAAATAAGTCTGGAACAAAGAACGATATAAAATACTCCTTCTGAATGTAATACTCACGTATACTGAATAGGAAGTAATAAAATTAATAAATCTCGACTGATTCCTATTTTGTACTCCAAAATGAGCAAAAATAATATTTTGAGCACATAATATGAATAGTTAAAATCGTCTGTGCACGAATAAAAAGCACATCGTTGAATAGAACTTTCGATGTTCTTTTCAGATATGGCAAAAAAAATGAGAAATTCGAATGTATAGGGTGTTGTTTTCTGGCAGAAAGAATTTGTGAATTTCAAGTGAAGCCGGACCTGGATTTAATCTTTTGTTGTTGCCTCAATCAATTCCACAGGGTAGATTGAGCAAATGTATCAATTTTCAAAAATATATACAGGTTGGTTGGAAAGTTATGAGATAATGAATATATGGACAAAATTGATGAAACATCCTGTATCTCGGTTATGAGAAGTCGAAGACCCATCAACCATGGGTTTTTTGAAATCACCTCAGTGACCCCTATCCACAGGTGAATTATTTACCTTTCCCAATGAAACACCCTGTATATACCATAGATATGTTCACCACGTGAAAAATACTAACCGCGCAGTCAATGTCTGTCATAGTTCGATTCACATGTTAATCCTAAAGCACTTAACTAAATAGAGAGCTATATGAAACAGGTCAATTATCCTTATTCATAACTCGATTACTATCTCAATTATTTTTAGACTTTCATGTTATATCTGATTTCTCAACATTTTTAACGTATTTGACTGATTTGAGGTTCATAATGTTTGGGATATGATTGTAATTAAGTATATTATGTACACTCGATTCAACTTTGTTTTCATTGAGACATTGATTTATATCATCTCTCTCATTTGATTACTATTTGCTATTTTATATGTTTTTAGAAAACTGTAGATTTCGAAAATAATGCCAAATAGTAATTTTTCCACACAAGCTGTAACTAGAGTTCCTTAATGTATTTCACGCACTGCTGTTTTGACGTTTTTTGTATTAGAGTACGGACACTATGACAAGCACTGACAATCAGACATAACCACAAATAAATTGATGGAAAAAGCGGGAACTGACAGTACACGGACGTACATGACATAAATTTCAAAGGTTTGACAAATTGAGAGAATTAGGAGAAAGATGCAAGTTTGTGCAGTTTCCAACTGTGAGAACACGGGAAATCAATTCACTCTATTCGAATTTCCATCGGATAACGAAATTCTACAGAAATGGAAACATAATATGATGCGGCCGGCATGGAATATAGGTTCAGGCCACAAAATTTGCGAGGTATTCAAATTTCTTGGTAGGATATAGACCATTTTTCAACGCATTTTTATCAGGTACACTTCAGAACATAAGATTTGATGTTGAAGAATAGGATCGTATTGAGAGAAAGAGCCGAGCCCACTATTTATAAACTGAGCGAGTATCGAAAAGAACCTTATAATCGACAATAAAATGTGATTTTTTGTGATTGTGGACGAAAAAATAATTTACTTGCAATAAAACTTCATTTTTCACTATTGTAATCATCAATTTTGACTCATATTTTCTTTTTCAGTACCCTATCGCAGTTGAAGCAGCTAATTCATTGACAAAAAGATATGGTACACGATATACAGTTGGAAATGTAGCAGAAACCATATGTGAGTAAACCACAAATATTCGGAAATGAAACTTATCCTCTCTGACGGGAAAACAGTTTGACATTTCATCTCTGTTGACAGGTTGAAAAATATCACTTTTCATAAATTACTTTCTAACCACGGGAAATAAGTCAGCACTTTTTTCCCAGATATACAGTGTGTCCCATCTAAAACTTGTTATTCCCCTAATCTCCGATGTCGTTAATAGTATATTATGTAACAAGTGTTATAAACGTCCTTTTAGTAACGAGTATTTTAAGCACGAGCGGAGCAGAGCGGAGCGAATTGATAACATAATACATGCAACTACATGCAACCAGCGAGGCACGTATAAGTGATATTGGTTATAGATGTGTCCAGTCCATTGCTTACTAACGTTTGTTTCACATTTTATTGTCATGCTTAGCGCAGAATGAGTAAATTGTTCTCAAAGATGGATGCTTCATTTTAACACTTCTTGGAGATATGCAAGTACCAAAACATTCTCTTCGATTTCACTTTCGTCTACATTTCGCATATATTTTTAATGGAGAATTCTGATGCAAACGAAAATTGTGTGAATAATTCTGATACAAAATTCGAAAATTACCGGTGACATAGTTCCTACAATTGACAGGCCAGACATGTATCTACTTACTGAAGCTGTGTTTAATGAACTGTGTTGCCATGGTGATGTGTTTAAGAAATCGTGTTGCCATGGTAACGTGTTTAATATTATGAATAAATCACAGATCGTCAATCCGTGATTAATCGACCATTTAGCGTGGTACATATCTGTACGCTAAATGCCATTTTAGTTATGTGAGTAGAAAAAATAAATGAAAGTCGCTCGGACAGGTCGATTTCAATTTGGCGGGGGACGAAGCGTCTCGATTTTCAAATGGAGCACCCTGTATTTCATAATGAATAGTTTCGATACAACAAAATCCTAAAGTGAGAAAATCTCGATTTTGAATACCCTATATCTCTGTAATCATTTCCGCTAGACACCAAGTGTGCTGCATTGATGAAAGCAGCTCTTCAGAGAGAATCTGAAAATGCAATGAAATACAGGGTGCTCCATTTGAAAATCGAGAATTGATGCCTGTTACGCTTCGAGATTTCACCTTCGGAATATGATAATTCATAAAAATGTGTCCCCCGCCAAATTGAAATTGTCCGTCTGAGCGATTTTTAATTTTTGTAACGACATCGGAGATTTTGGAGCTTCAAAAACAGGGGTGAAATTGAATATGTGATCCATGTGCATAGACGTAGAATAAGAATGAAGATTCATTTTCTTCAAATATGTTATGATACATGTTTGACACACTTTGTATTATCGAAAACTACGCCTTACTGGACCGAGAATACATAGTTCTCAATATACAGAGTGTAGAGTGTGTCAAACATGTATCAAGAAATATTTGAAGAAAATGTATCTTCATACTTATTTTATTGATCACGCATTTATTTTCACCCCAGTTTTGAAGGAATTTCTTGTTGGCACCAATTTATGCAATAAATTGGTATTTATGTTTCTCCATGGAAATGAAGCAGATTATCTGAAAACTTCAGGAGACCAAAATGTTGTATTTTTATTGGTCAATATAGGTTATGGAGATGAAGAATTCAAAAAGATCAGTGGTGCTCATTTTATTGACAATAATATTCGGTAGGTTGCCCCCCGGGACGCCACTGGATTTCATAATTCCGATTAAATTATGGGTATATCAGCCCCTCATGACAAGAGATATCATTGCCAAATTTCAAGAGAATCGGTGAAAGAACATTTGAGATATTCATAAAAAAATCGATCTTTTTCAAAAGTTTTAACACACTGTATGTTGAAAACTATGCATTCCCGCACCCACGTATGTACAGTGTGTCCAGTTTTCGATGCTTTCGCCTGATATCTCAGTTATCTTTGGAGATAGAACCTTGCGGTTTTCGCGGTCCTGTGCCACTTTTTTGTGAAACTCAAGATGGCCTAATCAGATTTTGCAAGACTGTTTCCGTTTATGAGATACAGGGCGATTTTGAAAATTTATACTATTTGGAACCCCTCCATATCCACGAAGTTTCTCAACAAAAATGTCAAATCAAAATCTTATCGCATAGAGAATTTCACGCATAATCCAGTGGCGCACTTAATTTTTCTTTTCGGGGTATGGTTTTGGAGATACGACTCAAACTTATGATTTTTTAAATGGAACACCCTGTATTTCATAAGCTCATTAAATTCCTTATTTTTTGTCTTCAAAATGATATATAACGAATGAATATAAAATTTTCAAAATTGCTCAAAATCACTAAAATATTGAATTTTGATAGTTGGTTATGGATTTTTCTTATGAAAAACGTTCCAATTGAAGAAATATTTCTTCAAATTTTTCCATGGAGAGGTCAAAACCAATATCAACACTTATTTATTAACAAAACACTAAACTTGGGTACCTGATAGCGACAAATAAATAGTAATAAAAAGTTTATAATGTAGAATAAGCACCAGATTAAATATTAACTAGAACAATTGAATTCCGGAATTATTCAGTAACTTATTCATTGACATGTTCAAATTGATATCCATTTTCCCTAACATACAGTTGACAAACTTTCTTAATACTTCTTGATACAGTGAGTGGCCCAACATACTTGAAGAACTTTGTGCAACAACAGAGGCAGTTTTCCAGGAATAACAAAGACATCTTTCAATGATTAATATGTATTGAGAAAGTTTGTGATGGAAAATGGTGATCAATTTGAACAATTCAATGAATAAATCACTGAATAATTTCGAAATTCAATTGTTTTAGTAAATATTCAATCAGGTACTTATTCTACATTATAAACTTTTTATTACTATATATTTGTGGATATCAGGTATCTAAGTTTCGTGTATTGCAAGTTAATTAGTGTTGAAATTGTTATTTCCCCCTTCATGGAACAATCAAAGGAAATATTCCTTCAATTGTAAATTTCTTTATATGAAAATCCCTCGAAAAACCCATAGCCCACTATCGAAATTCAATGTTTTAGTGATTTTTGAACATTTTTGAAAATGTTATATTCATACATCATATATCATTTTGAAGGGAAAAAAATAAGGAATTTAATGAGCCTGTAAAACACAGGGTGTTCAATTTAAAAAATCATAAGTTTGAGTCGTATCTTCAAAACCACACCCCGAAAAAAAAACTTTTGTGCGCCACTGGATTCTGCATAAAATTCTCTATGGGTTGAGATTATGATTTGACATTTTCGCTGATAAACTTCGTAGATATAGAGAGGGTCCAAAAAGTATAAATTTTCAAAATCGCCCTGTATCTCATAAACGGAAACTGTCCTGCAAAATCTGATCAGGCCATCTTCAGTTTCACGAAAAAGTAGCAAAGAACCGCGAAAACCGCAAGGTTCTATCTCCAAAGATAACTGAGATATCATGCAAAAGCATCGAAAACTGGACACACTGTACATATGAAATGAAATTCTTATTTTATCATGTAGAATCCCCCCTTGATTTTTTGCGCATAATTTCCGGAAACACTGTATAGCACAACTTATATTCTGGCTTTTAGGGAGAAGAGATAGTGTATTCACATGTGAAATTTTGTTTTTAGACGTGGCGACAGGCAGTAGCATGGATTGGTTGAAAGGCGTGCATCACGTTCCATTCGCGTATACTTATGAACTCAGAGACACTGGAAAATATGGCTTCCTTCTACCTGCTGACCAGATCATCCCAACTGCTGAGGAAACCCTAGACTCTGTTCTCACCATTGTGAGAGAGGCTGATAAAATAAGTGAAAAAGTTTTGTAGTTAATAGATCTTTAAATAAAATATGATAAGTATTCGTAGTTGAAATTACGCCAGTCGGGCCAATACTCCCGTATGGGAATTTCAGTTTTGGAGTGTTTCTTTCCTTTGTTTATACTGCTACCATATTTGGAATGCAGCACCAACATACCCTGAAACTGTTGGATACTTATCCAAAAAAGGATGGGTGATGCCTCGCTCACAAACTCACTCACTTCTCTGGAACACCGTAGAAAAGTTGGCGATCTGGCTCTATTTTATAGATATTTCCATGGACGATGTTCTTCTGAAATATCAACAATTGTTCCTCCCTTGGCAGTCCTCGCGAGATTAACCCGTCGAGTTGAGGCTTCGCACCCCTTCGTGGTCACTTTGGAGATCTGCAAAACATCTCTTTCCGAAAGACTCGTTCATCCAACGAACAGTAAGGCTCTGGAACAAATTGCCAAGAGAGGTGTTCCCCGAGGCATATGACCTCCAGAAATAAAAGAAGGACACCAATTCCTACCTTATTTTCCTTGATTCTCACGATGTTCTCTGAACATTACAGGATAACCCGCAGAAATTCCTGAAAATTAGAAAAATTTCTGAAAATTGCAAAAATTCCTGAAAATTGCAAAAATTACAGAAATTCCTGAAAATTGCAGAAATTGAAAAAATTGCAAAAATTCCTGAAATTTGGAAAAATTCCTGAAAATTGTAAAAAATGAAAAACTCCTGGAAATTGCAGAAATTGCAAGAATTGCAAAAATTCCTGAAATTTGGAAAAATTTCTGAAAATTGTAAAAATTGCAAAAATTCCTGAAAATTGCAAAAATTGCTATTATTCCTGAGAATAGCGAAAATTACTGAAAATTGCAAAAGTCGCAGGAATTCCTGAAAATTGCAGATAGTAAAAATGCAAGAATTCCTGAAGATTAGAAAAATTTCTGAAAATTGCAAAAATTCCTGAAAATTGCAAAAAATTGCAAAAATTTCTGAAAAATGCAAAAATTACAGAAATTCCTGAAAATTGCAGAAATTGCAAAAATTCCTGAAAATTGCAAAAATTGCAAAAATTCCTGAAAATTGCAAAAATTGCAGAAATTCCTGAAAATTAGAAAAATTTCTGAAAATTGCAAAAATTCCCGAAAATTGCAAAAATCACAGAAATTCCTGAAAATTGCAGATATTGCAAAAATTGCAAAAATTCCTGAAAATTGCAAAAGTAGCAAAAAATTCCTGAAAATTAGAAAAATTCCTGAAAATTAGAAAAATTCCTGAAAATTGTAAAAATTGCAAAAATTGCAAAAATTCCTGAAATTTGGAAAAATTCCTGAAAATTGTAAAAATTGCAAAACTTCCTGAAAATTGCAGAAATTGCAAAAATTGCAAAAATTCCTGAAATTTGGAAGAATTCCTGAAAATTGTAAAAATTGCAAAAACTCATGAAAATTGCAAAAATTGCTATAATTCCTGAGAATAGCGAGAATTACTGAAAATTGCAAAAGTCGCAGGAATTCCTGAAAATTGCAGATAGTAAAAATGCAAGAATTCCTGAAAATTAGAAAAATTTCTGAAAATTGCAAAAATTCCTGAAAATTGCAAAAATTGCAGAAATTCCTGAAAATTGAAAAAATTCCTGAAAAATGCAAAAATTGCAAAAATTTCTGAAAATTGCAGAAATTGCAAAAATTGCAAAAATTCCTGAAATTTAGAAGAATTTCTGAACATTGTAAAAATTGCAAAAATTCCTGAAAATCGCAAAAATTCCTGAGAATTGCAAAAATTGCAAAAACTTCTGAAAATTGCAGAAATTGCAGAAAATTGCAAAAATTGCAAAAACTTCTGAAAATTGCAAAAATCGCAAATTTTCCTGAAAATTGTGAAAATTGCAGAAATTGCAAAAATTCCTGAAAATTGGAAACGTTTCAAAAATTCCTGAAAATTGGAAAAATTCCTGAAAAATGCGAAAATTGCAAAAATTCCTGAAAATTGCAGAAATTGCAAAAATTGCCAAAATTCCTGAAAATTGCAAAAATTCCTGAAAATTGCAATAATTGCAAAAATTCCTGAAAATTGCAGAAATTGCAAAAATTCCTGAAAATTGCAAAAATTGCAAAAATTCCTGAAAATTGCAAAAATTGCAAAAACTTCTGAAAATTGCAGTAATAGCGAAAATTCCTGAAAATTAGAAAAATTCCTGAGAATTGCAAGAATCGCAAATTTTCCTGAAAGTTGTGAAAATTGCAGAAATTGCAAAAAATTCCTGAAAATTGGAAGAATTCCTGAAAATTGGGAAACTCAAAAATTCCTGAAAAATGCAAAAATTGCAAAAATTCCTGAAAAATGCAACAATTGCAAAAATTTCTGAAAATTGCAGAAAATGCAAAAATTGCAAAAATTCCTGAAATTTGGAGTTTCCTGAAAATTGCAAAAATTCCTGAAAATTGCAAAAATTGCAAAAATTCCTGAAAATTGCAAAAATTCCTGAAAATTGCAAAAATTGCAAAAAATTCTGAAAATTGCAGAAATTGCAGAAATAGCAAAAATTCCTGAAAATTAGAAAAATTCCTGAAAATTGCAAAAATCGCAAATTTTCCTGAAAATTGTGAAAATTGCAGAAATTGCAAAAATTCCTGAAAATTGGAAAAATTCCTGAAAATTGGAAAAATTTCAAAATATCCTGAAAATTGGAAAAATTCCTGAAAAATGCAAAAATTGCAAAAATTCCTGAAAATTGCAACAATTGCAACAATTGCAAGAATTTCTGAAAATTGCAGAAATTGCAAAAATTGCAAAAATTCCTGAAATTTGGAAAAATTCCTGAAAATTGCAAAAATTCCTGAAAATTGCAAAAATTGCTATAATTCCTGAGAATAGCGAAAATTACTGAAAATTGCAAGTCGCAGGAATTCCTGAAAATTGCAGATAGTAAAAATGCAAGAATTCCTGAAAATTAGAAAAATTTCTGAAAATTGCAAAAATTCCTGAAAATTGCGAAAATTGCAAAAATTTCTGAAAATTGCAAAAATCGCAAAAATTCCTGAAAACTGCAAAAATCGCAAAAATTCCTGAAAATTGCAAAAATCGCAAAAATGACTGAAAATTGCAAAAATCGCAAAAGTGACTGAAAATCGCAAAAATCGCAAAAATTCCTGAAAATTGCAAAAATCGCAAAAAACCATGAAAATTGCAAAAATCGCAAAATTTCCTGAAAATTGCAGAAATAGCAAAAATTGCAAAAATTCCTGAAAATTGCAAAAATCGCAAAAATGCCTGAAAATTGAAAAAATCGCAAAAATGCCTGAAATTGCAGAAATCGCAAAAATTCCTGAAAATTGCAAAAATTGCAAAAATTCCTGAAAATTGCAAAAATTGCAAAAACTTCTGAAAATTGCAGAAATTGCAGAAATAGCAAAAATTCCTGAAAATTAGAAAAATTCCCGAAAATTGCAAAAATTCCTGAAAATTGCAAAAATAACAGAAATTGCTGAAAATTGCAAAAATTGCAAAAATTGCAAAAATTGCAGATTCCTAAAAATTACAAAAATCGTAAAAATGCCTGAAATTTGCAAAAATTGCAAATATTTCTGATAATTGCAAAAATTGCTAAAATTCCTGAGAATTGCAGAAATAGCAAAAGTTGCAAAAATTCCTAAAAATGCAAAAATTGCTATAATTCCTGAAAATAGCGCAAATCACTGAAAATTGCAAAAATCGCAAGAATTCCTGAAAATTGCAAAAATTCCTGAAAATTGCAAAAATTGCAAATATTCCTGAAAATTGTGAAAATTGCAGATATTGCAAAAATTCCTGAAGATTGGAAAAATTCCTGAAAAATGCAAAACTTGCAAAAATTCCGGAAAATTGTAAACATTACTAAAAATTGCAGAAATCGCAAAAATGCATGAGAATTGCAGAAATCGCTAGGATTCCTGAAAATTGCAGTTTTTAAAAAATGCAAAACTTCCTGAAAATCTGAAAAATTTCTGAAAATTGCAAAAACTCCTGGAAATTGCAAAAATTGCAGAAATTCCTGGAATTTGGAAAAATTCCTGAAAATTGCAAAAATTCCTGAAAATTGCAAAAATTGCTATAATTCCTGAGAATAGCGAAAATTACTGAAAATTGCAAAAGTCGCAGGAATTCCTGAAAATTGCAGATAGTAAAAATGCAAGAATTCCTGAAAATTAGAAAAATTTCTGAAAATTGCAAAAATTCCTGAAAATTGCAAAAATTGCAAAAATTTCTGAAAATTGCAAAAATTGCAAAAATTCCTGAAAATTGCAAATTGCAAAAATTCCTGAAAATTGCAAAAATTGCAAAAATTTCTGAAAATTGCAGTTATTGCAAAAATTCCTGAAAATTGCAAAAATTGCAAAAATTCCTGAAAATTGCAAAAATACCTGAAAATTGCAAAAATTGCAAAAACTTCTGAAAATTGCAGAAATTGCAGAAATAGCAAAAATTCCTGAAAATTAGAAAAATTCCCGAAAATTGCAGAAATTCCTGAAAATTGCAAAAATTACAGAAATTCCTGAAAATTGCAGAAATTGCAAAAATTGCAAAAATTCCTAAAGATTACAAAAATGGTAAAAATGCCTGAAATTTGCAAAAATTGCAAATATTTCTGATTATTGCAAAAATTGCTGAAATTCCTGAAAATTGCAGTAATAGCCAAAATTGCAAAAATTCCTGAAAATTGCAAAAATTGCTATAATTCCTGAAAATAGCGAAAATAACTGAAAATTGCAAAAATCGCAAGAATTCCTGAAAATTGCAAAAATTCCTGAAAATTGCAAAAATTCCTGAAAATTGCAAAAATTCCTGAAAATTGCAAAAATTGCAAATATTCGTGAAAATTGTGAAAATTGCAGAAATTGCAAAAATTCCTGAAAATTGGAAAAATTCCTGAAAAATGCAAAAATTGCAAAAATTCCGGAAAATTGTAAACATTACTAAAAATTGCAGAAATCGCAAGAATTCCTGAAAATTGCAGTTATAGTAAAAATGCAAAAATTCCTGAAAATCAGAAAAATTTCTGAAAATTGCAAAAATTCCTGA